AGAAGTGCAGAGCAGGAATTCATCATGCATGCTCACTTGAACAAAGTCGAAACAAAGCCATTGCTGTGCTTTCTGATCTGTTCACTGTCAGCTCAACATCCATCAACCAGGAGGAAACCTCATCCCCGCTGACTGAGCCATGTAGAGATTCCACCAGTTAATATAAGAGTCTGATTTTAAATTGGGCTTTTTCAGTTCACGTGACTGGTGCTTTGTTCCCTCTATTGATGCACTAATATATGAGATAGAAACCACAAAGCTGTAGTTTGAGTGATCATGGTTGAGAATCATTGAATTGCAAAGCTCCAGATGCTGTTAATAGCTGGTAATATACTTAAGCTTCATACCTGCTGAGAATTGTGTCTTTAGCCTTTATTTAGCATAAACATATTAACATATATAAACATACGAGGCATGTCTTATGTATAAATTTGTCATTAGCCCAATGTGGATGAAGAAGTCAGGTAAATTTGTAGTTCACAGATATACTCTGTAATCCCGTACAAATTGCAAAAATCTTTTGCAAACTTTGTAAAAAAAAAAAAAAGTCTGAGCGAATTATCTACTTTTTTTAACTAACTCAGTGTGATCTGAGAAATTGAATCCCATCTAGATTGAATGTCTGTGATAGCAGTATAGTTTCAGAACATGCAACCTTTGCTGAATACTGTAATTAAAACTAAATTGCCTGGTGCACTTCATTATGAATCTAGACATTTTTGGCAACTTTCAGAGTAAAAATTAAATGAAATACAATAAAATTTTAAATTTAAAGAGAAAAATAAATAAAATGGTTGGTAGTTCAAGTACTCAGGCCATTCCATCTCATATAAGATACTACCTAGATTTTGGTAGTATAATCCTACATTTTAAATAATAAAATAAAATAATAAAATGAAATAATGCTTTAAAAAAGCAAAGTTAAATATATTGTGCATCAAAACTAGAGCCCGACCGATATGGGTTTTTTGGGACCGATACCGATATTAGGGAGTAAAAAAAAGGCCGATATCGATATATCGGCCTATATTCTTTGTGTATATTATAGTACAGTACCAGTCAAAAGTTTGGACACTTTCCCATTCGTATGTCCAAACATTTGAATCAGCGCAGATTTTCCTCGCGCTTTGAACCCTGGTTAACAACAGATCTGTTGCGAGTTCGTGCAGCGCTGTCAGAATACATGCAATGCGCGCGTGTATTAGAAAACATAGAATAAGACAATGCTTGAATGCTGCTGCCTGAACAAGAGATCTCCTTACTGAAGTGAAAGTGTTGACTGGTGTCACTATCTCGCGAACGCGCCGGCGGATCTCCACGAAACTCGGGGGATCCCTTCAGCTGGTGCAGCCTTCTCGAACGACACCCTCTGCGCGTCGGTAGCCCCCCGGGATCGCTTGATCGGTCGGCGCCGGACCGCGAATTTAACCACCTGTAACTCCCGAACCCCGGGGGCTATCGACGCGGGGGGGGTCTCATTCGAAAGCGGGCCTCTAGACATACACTCGATCGAGAGGGTTCCTCGAGCTGAAGGGATCCCCCGAATTTGGTGTGGATTCGCCGCGCCGTTATGGAGATATGGCCGTCCAAAGTTTCAATGGTTTTCCATAGACTAAGCTTTAAAGCGTTTCATCCAGGTCGCCAGTAGCAAACAATAGAGCGCGCTCTGCTGGACAAACTAAGTAATCACACTATTTCAAGCATTTAATCTGCGTTATATGTTCTGTAAAAAAAAAAAAGTTCATATCGGCGGCATATTCGCCGATACCGATATATCGGCGACAGGCTCATATCGGCCGATAATATCGGCAAAACGATATATCGGCCGGGCTCTAATCAAAACACTCTATAAACTGTATAATAATTAGTGTCATATCTATCTGTACTTGCAAGCTTAAACCTATTCCTAGTGTTGGGCTGTGAAGTCTTTAAAAACGTTAACTTTTGAGGACTTCTAAGCCTTTTCTGTAAAAGTAGGTCAAGTAGAAGGTTTGGTGTGTGTGTGTGTTTGCTATGAGAGTGTTTACATGGATGTGCCGAGTTGAACTTTGGGATGTCCAATTCATTTAATTGGTTTGGTTTGTGTAAATAATTAAATTATTCTCTGAAGCATTTATGTTGTATTAACAAAACAATATAATATTTATTACAATAATTTTACAGAATAATTGATTATTTATTTAAATGCTGCTGTGCATAACTGTTTTAACTTCACTTTTAAAAATAAATGTTTCATATAGGGTTTTTTGCAATGCCATAGAAGAACCATTTTGGGAGAACAGTTATTTAAAGAACCATATTTTTCTTATTGTGAAGGAAATTTTAATCAGAAGAACCCTTTCCACTAAAGAACCTTTGTTTTAAAAAGTGTGATTAAACTGATAAACGTTTTTGATTATACATTTTATATTAAAAAAAGTGTCAGCCTATTTGGGGATTTTTTTTTTCTGTGTACCAGATAAATACCGTTCTACTCTGTGCTCCTTTAAATTTTGAGTATAGCTTGTTGCTTGACAAGCTGTATTTTCCAAGTAGCTAACCCGACACTGGTTGTTTTCATTCTCTATTTCTGTCTACCTTCCTCTTGTAAATAATTGAGCTCCTGACTCTGAATGGTTGTGATGATCTGTTGCAGGGTATCTCTTGACACATACAGTGGGTACGGAAAGTATTCAGACCCCCTTAAATAATACTTTCCGTACCCACTGTATTCTACATCTCTTCATGCTGTCAGACGGGGCTGCATTACTGTGACCTGCAGACCTGACAATGATGTGACTCGTCACATGCGACTGACAAACCGTCATACAGACAATCAATCTGTGACAGTTAGTCATTGTCTCTCACAGCTTAACAGTGACTGTTTAAATTATTCCATACCATTTAGAATGAGCATGTCACTAAACAGTTGCTCATTGGGTAATTGAGGTCAGTTTTATGTTATTCATTTATTTATTTATTTTCAATGACTTGGCTGTAACTTTCATCTTTACTGTATACATTTTCATGTTTACTGTATAGCCAAAGAGAACTTAAATAGTTTACACAAAATAATAAAGATTAGTGACAGTGTCTTTAAAAAGTTTTTTTTATTGATCTTGACAGAGATGGTCACTATGAAATGTATAATTATATGGAAAGCAAGTATTTCATATGAAAAAAAATTATTACAGACATAGAGAGATGATGAGACATCATTATGATAGTAAGTGAACAGTAATGATTGACTGCAGATGCACTAAACCATCAGATGCACAAAGTAGGTCAAGAAAATGGACCATGTCAAGAAGTATAAATGCACAAAATATATTTTGTTTACCTAGGTCTGTCAGCGGCCAGCCTAGCAGAATATCTTAGTGATAGATTTAGGTTATGGATTGTTTTTTGTTATCTATTTATGAAAAAAGCTTTTAGTGGGGTTTAAGTTTTTGGTACAATATATCATTTGTAATAGTGTCAAATTTAAACAATATAATAGTGTAATGCTAATTAGCCTCTTGTTGAACAATAGTCTTTCTTCAGCATGGTATCTATTAGGATCATTGGCTAATTTAGACACTTCATAAACTATAATCTATTATTTATCTATTACAAAATCAGTCATTGCACCTTTTCCTGGAAAATATGTTCCTGTTGAGAACATTTTGTCTGCCGTTACCTCAGGGAATGACCTCCTACGGTTAACATTCTGGAGTGTAGGTGCTGTTCTTGTTGCTAGGGAGAACTAAGCATGAGTGTGCTTTCTCACTGCATGGAGAGTTATCAGTGTGTTTATAGTTGTGTATGAAAGAATTTCATGATCTGGATAAAATATTACACCAAATCCCATTTGACTGAAGCATTAAAATATGTATTATTCCAAGGAGTCTTTTCAGCTGAGAAATAATTTTAAGATATCATGTTGTCATTTATGTAAAGAAAATGCCAGTGTTTGCACTTGTGCTTACCAAGGAATTAACAAAAGAGCAATGTTAAGGTAGATTTTTAACAGAATTGTGCAATGCAAGTTCAAAAGAAATACGTACAGTAACAAGAAATGAAGGGTTAGTTCACCCAAAAATGAAAATGCTGTCTTTAATTACTCACCCTCATGTCGTTCCAAACCCGTGAGACCTTGGTTCATCTTCGGAACACAAATTAAGACATTTTTGATGTAATCTGAGAACTCTCTGACCTGCATAGACAGCAACGCAACTGAAATGTTCCCAGACCCAGAAACGTAGCAAGGAGATCGGTAAAACAGCCCATGAGACATCAGTGGCTCAACTTCAATTTTGCGAAGCTACGAGAATACTTTTTGTGCGCAAAGAAAACAAAAATAACATAATTTATTCAACATTTCTTCTCCCCGAGTTAACGTCTTCCGCCATTTTGGAGAGTACCCCGATGTTGAGCCACTGATGTCACATGGATTGTTTTACCGATGTTCTTGCTACGTTTCTGGGTCTGGGAACATTTCAGCTGCATTGCTGTCTATGCAGGTCAGAGAGTTCTCAGATTTTATCAAAAATATCTTAATTTGTGTTCCGAAGATGAACGAAGGTCTTACGGGTTTGCAACGACATGAGGGTGAGAATTTTCATTTTTTGGGTGAACTAACCTTTTTAGGAATTTTAAAAACGTTTTCACAATTAATTTAGCACCACAACCATTTTCAAGTGAGATAATAATTAGAAATGTTTTCCGATAACCAAATTTGCACCTTAAACTGCTTTCTTAAAGATTATGTAATGCAGTGTTTAACCTAAAAATTTAAATTGCTTAATTAACAGTCAATTAGATCAACCAAATTATCACACTCTATTCATTGACCATCAGACTATAAATTACCCCTAATTTCCCCTTTAAGGGAAACATAAATAGATTCTGCACAAACGAGAGGCTTTGTGGTTATCAAAACATACTACCACCAAATCGTTTTATGGGTATAAAATTAGAATATTGAACATGAACACGTCTGATTGTGTCTAGATTATTTCTTATTTGTATTTCTGTTACAGGTTTTATGTCAAGACATTTCTAAATGTGGTGTTGTTTACCCACCTTGACACCTTGAAGACAACCCCTGATGTTATCTACTTAAAATCAGTATCTCAACTTACGTGTGAAAGATGCCAATACTTACTTTAGCTTTAAATCTGAAAGTGGAGAGAGCTCCAGATCTCAAGGGGGGATCAACAAGACTCTACATGAAAGCTTGAGAACACATGAACCATCAGGAAATATGAGTGTGAATGATGAACACACCAGACCCTTCGGGACCAGCATTGAAGATGGCTGTAAGGAAATCAGTAACAACAACAGACATGTTGAAGATTCCCTGGATGGTTATGGCAATGCTAATGAAATCCAAAGAGGAGATGGAGGAACAAGTTGGGAGGTAACTGAAACCCTGTCCTCTGTGGTATCTCACACTGAAGAACGGGTGAAGATGATTATCCAGGGCACAGATTCCCCATGTGATGACCCAGAGTTGGCTGAGTTTGAGATGCTGGAAAGTCAGGAAATAGAGGATGATGAAGAGAACAGTATTCCTAAAGGTGACATGAAAGGGGCTATATCCACCAATATGATGCAGACTGAAGCAAAGTCTCCGAAGGATAGCAAAATGTTCTCCCAGTTTATTTCAAAGGAGCAAGAGTCTACTGTTTGTCCTCAGTCCACTAACAAAGAAATGCTGACCAGCATAGCCAGGACTGAGTTTAGCTCTGAAAATGATGTTTTTGTCTCTTGCCTCTCCACAATGTCTAATCTTGGAGGAAGTCTTGCTAGTGCTCTGGACCACGCTGGTCGAACCCAAAGCTCTGATTCGTGGCATGCTCCCTCAGGGCCATACCGAACTCTCTCTGAGGACCTTACCCTTGCCTCACAGTCCTGTTTAACTATTTCGGATAAAAGCCGGAGCTCTGTACATATTGAGGCCATGCATCATCAGCCAGGAAAAAGTACAAAGCACATCGGCAGTGTTGATCTCAATCTTAACTCTACCACATTGCCTGAGGAACCCCTTTTAGAAGCACAAGAAAACCAACCAGCTACAGACTTTGGAACATATGAGAGCTCAGGTCAACTGACAAATGGCATGAGTGAATGTAGCATTGCAAGGATCAAGAAGATCCCCAATGAATCAGGAATTACCAGTCAGGACAATCTAGGAGAACCTGGAATTCATGTAAAGGAGTACCATGGAACAGAAGACAAGGCTCCAAATTTGAAAACAATATCAAATGAGAAGAAACCTTGCCAACCGCTTGTCTCAGACATCACACAGTCTGCTGCACATAACAGAAGGTTCTCGCATGACTCCACTGGTGATATAAATAATAAACTCAAATCCCAGAATGATGAATCTCCTAAAATTGCTCTTAAAACCTCAAAACTAACCTCATCGAATATACCTGTGCACTCTGGTGGTTCTGAACCCCAACCTTACAAGAATCAAGCTTCTTTTGAAAAGACCCGACGTTCTAGTGCATCGAGTTTGGAAAGGCGAAGACCTTGGGGCAGCCTGTCTCGCCCTGAGACCCCTCCATCCCCTAAAACCACCTGTTCACCTCGGAAACAGCCACCTTCATCACCAGCCAAGCCTATTAGCACAAGAGAAGCAAGTCAGGAACGAAATGAAACCTTAGAGAGGGGAACCACTGGTTTGAGGCAACCAAGTCAAAGTTTTCTCAGTAGTAATAGCAGTCTCCCAAAACCTGCCATTCCTCAGCAACCCACTAAAGCAGAGTGTGAATCTAAGAAGTCTTCTCCACCTCAGAAGCCCAAAAATGTTCGACCAAAAATCATAACATATGTCCGCAAAAGCCCTCAAGTGAAACCAATGTCTGAAGGTCCCTATGAAGTATCGACGCTACCGCCAAGACTTACACCTTACAGTAGCTCACCAACCTCAAAAGAATCCAAGGCCGAGAGGTTCAGAGGTTCACCCGTGCTGAGCTCCTCTAATATCCTTTATGAAAAGTATCGTCAAGAAGTACAGAGGTCAGGGTACTACTCCCCTCCAGGACTGATAGAGTCTGGGATCAGGCCACTGAGCCACACTGTCCCCCATAAACTGGTGGGCAAATCAGAGAGTTTCCACGGGGAACTGCCAGATCAATATTTACAGGTGGGACTTGTGTAGTAGACATTCTCAGTTGCTAACATAGCACTACTGAACTCTAGATAAATGTGTTGTGCTTGTGAAAGCATGAGCAGTAAGCATAATTTATTAATTCTCTCAACTGCTTTATTAAATTTGTGGTAACAAAGACATCAATAGATGCTTCTTATGGTTTCAGGGTGGTAGAGTGGTTCAGCTAAATACCCATGATGCTGCTGCTGCCGTTTTTCGCTTTCCCAGAGCCCTAAGGCCTCAGCTTGGCCTTGGAGCTGTTACCAGACATCCTGCTACTAAGAACAGGACGGTGTTAGCAGGTCAAAGGTCAGCGTCACCCCTCAGTTATACGGCTCCAGCTGTTCAGGCCCCAAGTAGTCACCAGGAACCTGCAGGTCAGTAGGTGCTAAAATCCTCAAAGTCCCCAGTTGTCATCCCCCTCGTTGAAAAAAAAGACAAAAAGCATCCCCCTTACCATGCCTTTTAGATTATTAATTTTGTGTATTATGTAAAACTTATTATGCAAATGAAATGTTAAATGTATGATAATTTACAAACGAAATAACGGCGATTGGCCAATCAGTGCACAAGCTGAAGCAAGTTTTCATCATTTTTCGCACAAAATGGTTCAAGCACAACTTTTGAAGTTTTTGAAAAAGAAGACAACAGAAGGTATGATTTTTCCTTGATTAGAATTTAAAGACATTCCCCTGACATAATGTTATTGTGCTGTATACACTATAGGAGAGCTGACATTATCAAGTATGTCACCGATTTTGCATAAAAAAACAAAAACATGTCGAGAGTCCAAAAGCATTCACTGAGCGATGAAGCCTATTAGAATGCAGTTAGAATGCCATTATAATTCAGTCAATTAAAGAAAAAATACCCATGTATGAGTTTTTATATTTTTATATTCACGGCACAAGCAATGTACTTTCCTGAATATCAGCACGTGTTATTAATTTTATACAAACAGTGCAGAGCAACAAAGTTTTTTGTTTCTTGAATGAATCTGTTTATGAACGAATCGAATAAGCCAGTGATTCAACAGTCCATTTTTCATTTCAGCCTTTTTGAACAAATCGTTTTGTGCCAGCACAAAAACACATTCATCAAAATATAATTTAATTATCAGTATTGACCAAAATTCCTCCATGTCAGGCCCCTGAAGGAATACAGCTTATAAATAAAAGTTCATTTAATAAAGCTAATTTTTCATTAAATAAAAATCTGTTTAAAAATTAGACAAAGTTTGTAATCATTTTGTAAAATTAGCTACAGGACCCCCTTCCCCACCAAAGAAATTGACCACACCATCCCCCCTGAATTTGTTTTACAATTCGTCCACTGCTTATAGCTTTGTAATGTTTTCAAATCTCTTCAGAGATCAAAACTGTGACTTTGGGTAAGCCTGTCAGAAGTTAATTATCTCACATTTAGATATATCTCTTTTAAATGTGATAAAAATTTAGTCTCTCTTTATTCTTCTGGAAGTAAATCAATGAGCTGGACTTTTGCCAGTCAGTTGTATTAAATATCACCCTGTCCTGGAAAATGCAGAAATTAATAAACCAGCCATCCAGAATCCTTAATCTCACAAAAGGATCATTAAAACTGTCAGAATTGTCAAATGAAAATACCTACACCCTTTCAAACTGTATTTTCTATTGGTTATTTTATTAATGAGCTGTACCAATGCAAACTACATATATCTATCCAGGTCTTTAGAAAAGTGCTCTTTTAGACAAATGCTCCTTTGCATACACCATAAGTGGGCAAAGATTCACACTGTCATGTTCCAAAAAGGCCAAAATGTAATATAGAAAAGTCATAAAAGTAATGCATATTCCATGCCTTTTGTGTATGGAATTTAAAGGGGTCATATGACGTTGCTAAAAAGAACATTATTTTGTGTATTTGGTGTAATGCAATGTGTTTATGTGGTTTAAGGGTAAAAAAAAAAAAACATTATTTTCCACATACCGTACATTATTGTTGCCTTTCTGAAACGCGTCGATTTTTACAAAGCTCAACGTTCTGAAAAGCGTGGTGTGCTCTGATTGGCCAGCTATCTAGTGCGTTGTGATTGGCTAAATACATCAAGCATGTGATGGAAATGTTACGCCCCTTACCAGGTTCAGGAAACTTTCCTTCGTAAAATGTGCTGCACACACTCAGATATTTGGGTTGTACTGTTCTGGAACAGTGTTGTAAATAAAACTTAACTACTGATTTCTAGTTATGTCATTTTTTGGAAGGCCAAACAAAGTAGTTTGACTTTCGCAACGAAACACACAGCAGCAACAATACTACAGTGAGAATAAAAGTTACGCCTTCTTTCTTTGCGTATACATTTGGGCGGTGTTATGCAAATCTTCCCACACAGTGACGTAGATATGTGGGGGTGTGTTTGAACGAGGCATTTTAGGAAGGCGTGGATGAGCGTTCACTTTTATAAAGAATATCTCTTTGGGTTTGAGACTTTAATCTTTGCGACTTTATGGATCTTCTGTATGCACGAACCGCTTTTAACACTCCAAAGACAAAGGAAAACATGAAATCGCATCATATGACCCCTTTAATTTGCGAGGACTATTTGACATTTAAAAATGAACATTTTTAAATGTGTGTACAATTTCTTTTTCTACTCCTTATATGGTATTGATTCCATTGTAGTAGTGTCATGATTTAAAAGGCAGATTAGGTCAAGATTATTTATTTAATTAATTAATTTTTTTATGGATTGTAGAAAGTAATCCCAGGCCATGCTATCTGTAAATGATTTTATGAGAGGGAATACTAAGATTTGTCTCCTGCTTTACAGTGGATCAGAAGAGACTATCATTGGGTGTGGCCCCCAAATTTATGTTCCCCAAACCGGGTCATTCTGGACTGCGTCCTCCCGGCTTCTCCCATCTGCCTCCTGCTCGACTGGCCACCTTTGGCTTTGTCCGCAGTGCTAGCGTGTCTTCTGTGTCCAGCAACCAATCGAATGACGGCATACACAGTGACCCCTGCCAATCCAGCCGTGAGTGTTACACTCTTTCTGTCATAAAACTGTTGTCAGCCACATGCAAAACACGCTTTGCATGCTGGGGTACACAGATGTCTGACTGGGACACCTGAGTTTAACAGCTCTGGGTTCCACAGATTTCTTAACTTCTGCTAGTTGTGATGTTTATTGTACTGTTTGTACATTTAAGCTCTTGTAAGAATGATGTTCCATTTGCAAATGTTTTGCATGTCAGTCTAAATTCTCAAAAGTGTAAGGAATTACCAAAGCAGCCCATTCTCAGACCACATGCTCTAGTACTGGAATTGTTACAGGATTTGTTTAGACCTTGTGGATTATCCAACTCTTCCTGTCATAAGCCTTCTGCCTGGTAGATACAAAGTACAATCGATGTCTGTAACACCCTGCTGGTTGCTCTGTGCAAGACAGTGCATCTCAAAACATAAGACAAATAGAGCAGTGTAATCCAGTATTATAAAATGGAATTTACTTAGTATCGAAATCCTAATAAGTCTGAAATATCATCTATGATTAAAGCAGACTGTTAAATGTCCTTTTACCGTCATAATTGTCATTTTAAAGTAAAGAAGAAGTTATAAGACATGTTATATTACTTATTGCAGAATTGTTCAATGGATTTTCAGTGTGTTTTTATGAAGTTGGAGAAATATAGAGTCTGTGTGTGTTGTTTTCTAATTGTATTTGCCTTTGATGTTGGTTTCTGTGCTGTGGTGGACTGAGATATGTGAAGGGATGAACATAAACAGTTGTTGTGAAGAAGAGAGAAGTGCAAGTGAGACATGTAAAGAGCATTACTGCAGAAATCTGCCTTTGTCTGGCATCTGTGCACATATTATATAAATAAGCTAGAAGCACTAATCTACAGATTTTTCTAGAAAACATCTATAGACAAAAGTTGTGTTAGAGACACCTGTCACTAAATGAGCCTGAACAGATGTTGCGAAACTGATTTGATTGTTATTACCAATCTATAGGCAATAGAGTCTATAGGCAAACTGTGCTACTGCAGCATATGATTGGATTGTAATCATTCATTTAGATCAGATTCATTACACAGACAAACAAGCATCCCAGTACGCAAATAAATTAGATGAGATTTATTTATTTATTTATTTTTGTTAATTCATAAAGACAAAAAGTGCCAGAGTGATGCTCTTGTTTGTTATTTAAGTGTTCTTAAAGGAGAATTGACAGTGAGATGACAGACATGGTTAGGGGAAAATAAATCATCATTCTATCGATCAATAAAGATGTGTTAGTTGACAAAAAGAGAATTCCAGAGAAACAGAAATAGAAATGAAATTGTTTATCTGCACATGACCCATCTAATCTAAAAAAATGACACATTTGACCACTATCTGTCGATATATTTTACTGTTGGTAGTCCATTTCTCAGAACAATGAGCATCTAATCACATATCTGAGTGTCTTTCCTTCTTCCCAGTAACTGATTGCTGCATTAAAATCTGCATTAATGCTCAAATTGTTTTTTAGCTGAATGAAGGCTGTTTTATGCCTTGAGCATGAGCTTGCAAACTTCAAAGCATTGTGTTGCCTCCTTAATTGCCACACAAGCTGCCGTTCCCCAGTCAGGAAGACAGGAACATTTTCTTTTTCACATTTTCCAGGGAACTGCCAGACTTTCCAAAACATGAAGTTTCACATTCAATTCTTGTATTTCCCCTCACAAGCAAGGTTTTGAGTGACTACCTTGGGACAGTTGGTTGAAAATATTTGCTGTGTATTATATTATAAATTAGTTTTAAAGCTCAAGGATGAACACAGTTTTCTTCTGTGATATACACATAATGTTCTAAACATGGGGCAATTTTCACCAGTTGGCTTTTTTTTTTTCAAGATTCAATTCTCCCTACAGAATATCCCATTTGGACCTCAAGAGTTAGCTGTTTGTAATGCTAGATCCTATCTTCTTCCTGTAGCTGAAAATACAGTCAAAATAAAATTATACCTCAATGTGGACATTGAAGTGCTTATATGTGTCTAGATGAGGTGATGATCAACGGCAGGTGTGGTGATGACTGACTGAGTGCAGGTGGGAACCAGCAGGGATGCTGGGAGATGTAGTTCGGTGGTGACAGGGCTGGAGACTGGAGATTGTGACAGTACTCCCTAGCTGGGGAGTGGTAGGAATAGGAAGAAGCCAGGACAGAATGAGCCAAGATAGAATCCACAGCAGACAGTCCATGATGCAGGGTAGAGTAGAAGACTCCCAAGGTTGAGCTGGCAGAGCAGGGGATCCACACAGCGGAGCTGAAGACCTCCAAGGTGGAGCTGGCAGAGCAGGAGATCCTCACGGTGGAGCTGAAAACCTCCACCACAGTCGAGCAGATGAAACTAACCCCAAGTAGACTGGTTGGCTTGAGACCATCGGTTTTGGGGGGCCGGCCGAGCAGGAGATCTCCACGGTGGAGATGAAGACCACCACAGCCGAGCAGAAGAAACTAACTCAGGCAGACTGGCTGGCTTGTAACTGTCAGGAGGATCAGCTGGCTTGAGAATGTTTGGATGGGTGGCTGGCTAGAGAACATTTGGGGGGCTGGCTGAGAGACCGGCATCTGGAGTGCCGGCTGAGAGACGGGTGTTTGGGGTGCGTCTTGTGTGCTGGCTGACCTGCAGACTTTTGACGTGCCGGCTGACCTGTAGACTGAAGGGCTGATTTCAGTAGACCTAATGAGACAAAAAGTCAAACAGAGAGTTCTAGGGTGGCTTCCATAGCCGAGACGAGGGAAAATTGATCAGCATCTGTGGCTGTGATGAGGGGTCTTTGATTAGCCTCTATGGCCGTGACGAGGGGACTTAGATCGGCCTCTGTAGCTGTGACAAGGTGGCATGTGGCTGTGTTTGAGTAGACGGGGACAACCTCCATGGCTGCATCAGGGCAAACAGGTAACTCTGGGATGACCTCTTTGGTCACATCTAGACAGACAGGAAATTTGGGTACGACCTCCATAGTCACATATAAGCAAACAGGAAACTTGGGAACGATCCCCATGGATGCATCAGGGCAAAAAGGAAACTCAAGAATCACCTCCTTGGTCCCATCAGGGCATATGGAAAATTTGTGGATGAATACCGCCACTTCAATAGAAGTTGGAGAGCAGTGTGCAGCCCAGACACGCATTATGGCCACCGCTGTAGCAGGGAGATCAAACAGTGGTAAAGGGGTCTCTGAATCCTCTGTGTTTGGAACTCTTAGAATGGGTTCTGACATGATTGCCGTGACATCAGGAGACTCCGACATAGCTTCAATGATAGCGGGAAACTCTGAAATGGACTCTGGACTGAACTCGGGGGCTGTAGCCTTCATTAGACTGTGCTCAGGGGCTTGAGCCATCACTGGACTCTGGTCAAGAGCTAGAGCCATCACTGGACTCTGGTCAGGAGCTAGAGCCATCACTGGACTCTGGTCAGGTGCTGGAGCTGAGACTGGACTGGGCTCAGGGGCTAGAGCCAACACTGGACTGGGCTCAAAGGCTGGAGCAGAGTGATGAAAGTTTGACTTTTTTCTCTTTAGCCTCCTCCTTTGTGCTGGGATTACAGTGATGTTCAACCAGGAAGAAGATTCTAGGTTGAGCTCTGTGTACTGAATAGGTATTTGATGGATTACAAAGGCTAGAACGGGCTTCTGAGTTGACTTCTGGGCAGGAGCAAAATCTGACAGGGCATTGACAAGAACAGAATCTAGGACTGGAGCAGACTCATGGACTGTGACTCATTTAAAATGGGCTGCCTTAGGACTGCTGATCTTGATATCCTTGCCTTACGGACGGACCTGATGGAAAAATCCTACACCTTTGAAGTCAGTCGAATACTGAATGGAGCTGATCTTTTTAAACTGTGCTTGGCCGACTTGTCAAGATGAGAAGTCGGCATGGCTCTGATGGTTATTACCGGTTTGGTACTGGACGACGAGGATTGGCATCTAGGAAGAGATTGGTTACACAGAGAATTGCTGCTTAGCGGCATTGTTGTTCTTCACCTCACTGACTTCCTCAACTGCAAGGGGAGAGCCACAAATTCATGACACCCAGTCTAAATATTGTCTCAGGGTGAGGGTCGGATTGCCTGATGGTATCAGTTGTGCTTGGTGACTGTCTAATACAATCCAAAACAAGCCCATGAGAGATTGGTCATTCCAGTTTAATAAATGACAATACTGGATAAACTCCTCAACATACATCTCCATACTGTGGCCATTTTGATCGACGGAGCAACAGAATATTTTCGACAGATTCCATCTCAGCAGATTGGCAATCCATACTTGAATCAAAAGATCCCTGTAGAGCTCTTATTAAGCAGTCTAGTCTTCTGTCATGCAACAGAACAGGATACACAACAGTAACTTCCAAAACAGTGGTTTATTGACAGGTATAGTGGTGCACAAGGGATAGCAGCAGGTGAGTAGTGGAATTCAGAGAATTGCAAATAACTTCCAAAGTCCTTATCTCATGCAGGCGTTGGCTGGAGCAACAGGGAACAATGAAGACAGGAGATGACTTGAAGACAGAACAATCCACAGGTAAATATCACAGGTAAGTATTCAGGTAAGTTCACACGGGGTAGTGCACAACGTGACGTGACAATGACGGTAGGCAAGGTGAATGTTTATTTGTGTCTAGATGAGGTGATGGCTGACTGAGTGCAGCTGGGAACCAGGGGGAATGCTGGGAGATGTAATTCAGTGGTGACAGGGCTGGTGACTGGAGATTTTGACAGTAGTATAATATATTTCAAAATATTGAACAGAATTAAATTATAATATCCATTTTAACATATAGTGCAAAATTCAACATTTTTCTATGACTTAGGTAACTTGCGCTAGACATGTTAGCTTAGTAGGCTAATTGATTAGCATGCTAACCAAAAATGCAAAGAATGGAATGTTTAATTTGACCATCTGTTGCTTTGGTTATATCGTGTCATATATAATTTAAAGGGGACATCAGATGCAAAATTGCATATAAATGTGTCTA